AGCCAAGCACAAAGTTGGCAGCAGGCCCTGATCAGAAACCATGGGGTTTACATCAAACATGGGTGACTCTGAAAAGTAACATTCCCCTTGCTGTTCCTTACCTATAAGCACCTATCATCAGTCTTTCCCTCTCTTCATGAGTGTCTTGAGAGTTTTATGGCCACAGCACCTTCCCCAGGGGCTGCAGCAGCTGCAACCCTCCATTTCTCACACCCCTCCTTAAGGATTTCTTTTTCTTTTCAGCATTCTGCCCTCTGCCACCTGTTTAAGATTCTGCTTCTTCAACACAGTTGATGAACTTCATAAGTTAACTGCTAATGAAGTTAAACTACCCGGCCAGGAAATTGAGTTTTGCAGTTTTTAATAACAAATGACAAAGATAAGAGTCTTGATTTAGTTAAGTACTTAAGCTGAAATGGATCTACTGTCCAAATTCTCCCTGGATTCCTTTATCACAAGTAAGATTTAACACATTAGTTTTTTACTTTCCTTACGAGACTTTTATTTTAGTTCTTCTGTCTTTCTGGTTTTTCTTCCTGAATACTGTTGTTTCTATAAATCACTTTGATGCTTCCTATTCTCCATTTCATTCTTTTTTGCAATTAGGTTATTGAAAAGCTTCCAGTCGGTTGTATTGGCTTTATTCTTTTCTATTGATTATTCCAGTCCTTTTAACACATTCCAATTGCTTTAATATCCACTAGAGTTAGTTTTAGGGACTTCCATTTCCATAGCCACCCTTCTTCACTAATAACCCTAAAGCCATGAATGGACCTGGCTGCACAACCTCCCTCAGATTCATTTTGTTCCATACTGCTGGCTTTCACCAGGCAGCTCAGCCCAAGCTATGTCTGTAAAGCATTTGCTGTGTCCTGAGGCTGTGCTTACAAGTACTGGCAATCTGTCACCATACAAAATAAGCAATAAGAGTCATCATCCTGGGTTAGAAAAGATGTCTCCAGGTCAGTGGATCATCCAGGTCACTCTCCAACAGTGGCCAAAAGCAGATAGGAAATGTAGGGTACACAAAGGGGGGGAGCATATACAGTACCTCCCTTTGTGCTCTCTTGGCCTCCAGTTATTTGCAGCTCAGAACTTCTTCAGTCCGAAATCTACTTACTCAGTACTCTCAGAGGATTTTTCTTAAATGAACTTGTCCAATCTTCTTCTTCTCCACAAGCTTCACCTTATAACACATGTGCAAAGAATGAGTAATGCCATATATTACTTGTGGTCAATATACAGTGAAAATGCCTATAAAAATATTAATTCTGAGAAGAATCCCGTTTTAAGTGTATTATTTATAAACAGAATGAGATTTGTTTATTTTTAAAAATATATATGGGCAAACATTTGAACTAATCAAAACTATTTATTGCTATCTACATATGAGAAAATATATCAGTACCATCAACATTCTTTGCTTCCAAGTGCCAGGTGGCAATTTAAAAATATTTGAATTAGAACAGCCCAGTGCATGGACAAAAGCAAAAGACAAACATGCTCTCACTGAAGCTGGGATTTCAGAATGTATGCCTGCATCTAAAATCAGAGACACTCCTCCCTGGAGGAGATTTCAGGAACTTTTTTTCTGCAATTTCCCAAATCCTAGTGAAGGGCATCCAACCAGACTGGCCATCTGACATGCAACGACTCTCTCACTAAAAGTGTTGTGTTCCAGTTGATTTAAACCCCTCCTACTCTGTTCCTTGTTTCACCAGAGCTCTTACCTGAGAAGGTTCCTCATCCAGCCTCCTCCCACTGTCAACAGGACCAGGTGGAGGAAAGTCAAAGAGAACAATCCAGTTGTCTTGCCTTCACAGATGGCTACCTGGCCCTCTTGGGCCCCTATTTATTTTCTTTAATGGCTATATAAATTGCCCAAAATTTACAATCTACTAAAGACAAAAATAACACAAATCTTATCCTGCTCTTCACAATAACATTTAAATTGGCACACTATCACTATTCAGTATTTCATAAACTTCCCCTAATGAGGTTGTAACAGTACAATACTTGTATGTGCACAGGCAAGGGGAAAATGGCTACTGGAATTAATTTTAGGCTCTATGTCTACTTTTTCATGGTTTCACATTATTTTTCCTTGGTTATTTCTTTGATCAGTTCAATTTTATACAATATTTACATAAGACTGCTCAGAAATGCTAGTGCTCTGAAACAATTATTACTTAATCTCCTCTAAATCCTTACTCATATGTCATATTCTTTAAATAACATGCAGAAAAAATATAACACTTAAGTGGTTATAAACACATAGAAGACAAAATATATTAAACTGCTAAGGAAAAGAAATATAATTCAGTATTTATGCAAGAATTCGTGTTAAACTTTAGTATGATCAGCAAGAAGAGGAGCCAAAGGACGAGCTGAGAATTGAATAATTCATCCTTGAGATGCAACAAATATTTTCTAAATTTTTCACTTGTTTTAGAAATGTGTGACTACTGCTAAAACACATTGTAGTCATTGAAGCATTGGGCCTGTTCAGATTTCTATTGAAATGTCTCTGTCAAAATCAACATGGCTTTCTCCTTGTTTAAATTTAAGAAATAGCTATCACCAATCAGTGTTTTCCCAGACTGTAATACAGAGATTCCTGAAAATCCTTATAATTCTCCTATCAGTCAAAAGTGACATAAAAAAGGCTCTGGGCAGGAGCCTTACATTCACTGCATGGAAGGATGCACCTCCACTTTAAGCACCAAAAACTATCAAATTCACTGTGTTAAAAAAATTGTATTTTATTATTTTTGCCACTAGACAAGTTTCTTCATGAGTATAGGGAAACCCCAGACTAACTCAGTTAAAAACTAGCTGGTATAGGTTAGATTTCTGTACATCAATCTGCAAGCTTCAAAAATTACTATATAAACATAACACCACCAAATAGAACAGCCTTTTTCTCAGTGGAAATGCTCAAATTTAAGAGAACTCAGATAATTAAATGTAATTGAGATGTGCAAATGAATGAGGCACAAAATGAAAAATCAGATTCTGGGAATCTCCCTCCCTTTCCAAAGCTGTTTTTCAGATTTTACTTCTTTCAGTTGCTTTTGTAATCACATTTCATTGCTGTGAAAATGCTTAAGCCGTAAGTTGCAAAGTACAGCAATGATGTACACTGCAAAGTACCTGGGATTAGAAGACTGCTTGGAAAAGGAAGCAACATGATCATCAAGTGAGGTCAAGCAGGTACAACCCAACAGAACTCAGTAAACCAGTCTATTAATAACAAACCAAGGGGATAAGCAGCAGTCACTCAATTTAGCTGCACCAGTATTACACGGTTAGCAGGGGTAAAATACACAAATATGTATTTACAACTCTGAATGATTTAATTTTTTTTTCCTTCAGAAACAGCTCAAATTGGCAAACAGATTCAGTCTTCACAATCACATTGAATTAAAATTCACTATCCATATGTAACAGGCTCTGTATTACTGCATCAGTTTTAGGTGAAGCTAGGCACATTTCAACTTAGACTTCAACACTGCTAACTTACAAGTGGCATATAAAACATTAATTTATGTTCTACACATAAAGGAATTGAAGATTAATTATTAATAGTAATATTTTCCAAATATTACTGCAGTGAAGCAGAATGAATAGACTACATGAATTAGCAGAAGGAAATTCCAATTTATATACCAGATTTATATCCTTTGTTTTCATACCAATGTTTGGAACATATCAGGTAGCAATAGATCTTCAAACTACCATATTTCTCCCAAGAACAAAACCATACAGCTATTAGTTATTGATCAGGCTGATAAATCTACACAATAACCATTGTGGGTATAGGTAACCACGGTTCACTGTCAAAACAACACCTGCTCTTTGCAGTTTAGTAGCCAGCACAGCATTACTTTTTTGCCATTTCAGTACTACAAGTGACCAGGTGAGAACAGAGGCCAACCTCATCCTTCTCTAAGGCTTTATCCAGAGCACTTTCAGGAGAAACCATTTCCATATCTCTTTCACAGCTGGAACAGCCCAGGTGGTCAGTATGCTCCTGGAGAATCAGACAGGCTGAAGCAGGTCTTTTCTTGGTTTAACAGTCCACAAGCAACATGCAAATCAAGACTGAAGAAGAAATGCAGGACCTAGCATAAGATAAAGCTGTGTGAATTTATCTACATAAATTTCTTTTTAAATTGTTTTCAGGACTACAGCAGATGAAAATAGTTATACTATCTCTACAGCAGCTTTGCTCTCTGTGGTCTTCACTTTCTACTGCACTACCAAACCCAGATGGAACATACCAAGACTGTTCCTATGTCATCCCATGGATGAGGGGAAGAGGAGGAAGAAAACTCATTCATTTTTAGGAGTGGCAACTTTAGCTCACTGCTTAGGTGCACAGGAACTATGATCAGCTACAAAATCTTTCTGTCTTCTGGCACATAATCTCCCTAAGGATGCTTACTAAATATCATCTCATCTCTTCCTCATTCAAGCTGTTTTTAACCAAGATAGCAATGGGAAAATCCCAAGGGAAGAAGAGTACATGCTCCTTTAGAAGGCTTTCAGTTTTCCCATCATTTTCTCTATTATTTCAGAGGTACTGAACCCACAAGACTTGATTACAAACCCACCGAGTCCAGCTCTATGAGGCACTGTGCAGCAGTGGCTTCACCTCAACATAAACTCCTAACCCCAGTACTACCAACAAGATTTGTGAAGAAATTTTCAGAAGAAGCCCATATAGTTTTTCTCCAGTTCTTATGTCACAGGAACCTAAACATGGAACTTAATTTTTTTTTATGTCTTTTACATATAGGTCTTCGGTAAGGGGCAATGATCTTATCCTGAATAATATGAGAAGAGAAACAGGGAAGTTATTGTCAGGCCTGTGATAATCTTGAAATATTTTCATTCAGCTGCAACTAAATAAATCATTCCAGACAAATACAGTTGGGTTTTAGAATCCTACAAGTATTTAAAGAAGATGAGACAATCATAAATAACAACACTACATCTTAAAAATTGTATATAAAATACTGAATTTATTAGTTTCATGAGCTAAAAAACACATAAAAATTTCAGATCATATATACAGTAAGTCTTCTCAGAATGGATCACTTATGTTTAAAGATGAAGACATTTTACACTTGATCGATTTACACTTGATAGAACTTGATCTCTGCAGCTAACTGAAACAGCTTTGACACAGTTTCTCACACTACTGAGAAAATGGTTTTAAGATAAAAAAATAAATAAAGTAAAATAAAATAATCTTATTGTTCTCATTGAAGTATTTGCATGTCCTGCTATTTTTCATTCTACAAACTAAAAATGACATTTAAATAAAGCAATTAAGTCCTGCAAACTGCCATTTAAATAAAACACCTATACAGTTTAAATCCATAATGAATTCAAGTTATTAAAATATATCAAAATTGTTCAGCAAAATGTCTGGACAAGTATCTTGATAAGCTCTGGTATTTGTCCAGGTTCCATCAGTTTTCTCCTAAAAGATGGAAGTATTTTCTGTCAGCAGTCCATATACATCAGTTTCAGGTTCTAAATTATTCAAGAAGAATGGAGATCAATTTTGCCACCACGTGTACGTTGAGGCTGTTTCCAAGAAGACGATAGCATTGCTTGACTGTTACCTTTTCAGGAAAACCTAAAACAAAAACATATAGTGCAACATCACTAGTCTTGGTTTGTTCCTACTTTTTAGTCTTTTTTTTTTTCAGTGAACATTTCTTAGTGCAGTTATCACCGATTGCAGCAGGATTCACCCTCCCTCAGTTCCCCCCACAATTCACAAGGTTACAAAACTAATTCACAACAAATTCATTGGATTTATATCAGTTCCTCTATTATCAATACTGCCATCTCTAAGGTTTCACAAGAAGCTTCAAAACATTCCTCTGTTGTGTAACTATTGCTGATCTACCATCCCTTCAGAGAGCCCAAAACATCCAGCAGTCTCAGGGAGGGGCAGCAGCACTAAATCCCTGCACAACTGCTACTCTAGATAACATCCACAGAAGAACACAACCACAGCAGAAAGAAAATGTGACACTTCTGCAGATGGACTAAACTGCATTTCTCCATAAGCTTTATATTGTACTTCCCACATGATCCCCTCTAACAGCTCAGGCAAATCCCAAGTCTCCCAGTGCAAGATACCACCCATTAACGATGGGTGATTAAACGATGAGCAACGCTTATTCAGTGAGTGACCAAGCAGTTGAACAATTTTCCGTGTAATTCAATGCTGACCCCATTAAACACACTCAGATATACAGACAGCATCAGAAATGTCCTTCCCATAGGAAGTGCATGGTCTGGCAGAAAGGAGAGGCAGTAACAATGACACCAGCCCAGGTATTGTGAAAGGGCTGTGCTGTGTACTGACTAGCAAGCTCCTGAGAGTGAAGCAGTTTCAAGCAGCCAGTTGGTCTGGTCTGTCCCTGTTTGCACTCTTACCTTACTCCAACTGTGAGGTAAAGTACATTTGCTTCATCCTGAGTGAAAGATGAACAGCAGTGGTGACTTAACTGTTAGGGTCATATAGTAAACTGCTGAAACCTGGCCACAGTCAATTATTTCATCATTCCCTAAGAAGAAACACCTAACTTTGACTCAGAGGTCATCACCACCCCAATTAGCTCAGATGCACAAGCACACTGTGATTACAAGTATTGATATGTATGCTCTGAAATTTTCACAGCTCTTCAGAAAAAATTCTGTTCCAGAGAGAGCTCAGGAGAGAATGTGGCTGGACAGTTACTGAGCCAAAGGAGGCTCTGAGGAGGAGGTGGTGTCTGGGAGGAGTTGTTCCATCCCTCTCTGCCAGTTACTAATGCCTCGAATGTGGACTGCTTTGGTAAACACATCTTCTGCCAGCTCCATCCACTCTGCCCAGCTTCCTGGCACATTTGGGCAACTGTTCTTCTGTCTTTGGAACAATCACTTGCACTCCCACACACACTTCCTTAGATGGAGTTTTCACATTCCATCAATGGATAAGGTAAAGAATAAAGGCATTTTAAAAGCATACATGAAAATAAGTATGTATTTATGCACACACACACACGCACTTACAGCCCAAGAAGCCTATCTGAATCTTGAAAATGTCAAAATTTCTCCTTCTACCTTTTGGCAACCAAAAGCCAAGAATTAATTTCCAGAACTCATGATTTCCTTTATCCCAAGCCTCCTCCCTCTGACTGTTAACATTGTTTTGCACTTTCTATCTTCTTGGCTCCAGAGTAGCCTACATCAGAAGGTCAGATTCAACAACTTCCAGTATGCTGGCACTTGCTGCACAGCTCTCACTGTAGCATTTATGTCACACACAGTACCTGAGGACACTGAGATCTTAACAGCATGTACTTCCCCACCATGCTGGCTTTTGTTTCCTAAAAGCTTGCATGCATTGCTAATAAGAAAAATGGAAAACACATCCTGACATCACTCGCATGAAAGCAGGTCACAGGTGCAAGAACGCTCTGTTCACTTTTAATGATATTGCTGTGGGACCCACCAGAGTGACTATGACAAATGACTGCAGTATTTCATTGAACTATAATGCAATTACTATTTATACATTTTGATGTTAAAAGCACAAATAAATCTGGTCATGTTAAGAATGAACAATGACTTTAACTCTGGACCTCACATATTAGAAAAGGCCATCAACTTCTTAAAATGCAGAACCATTTAGACAATCACGTTTCTTCTGATGATACTGTAGCTGCACTAGTAACAGCATCTGTTACAAAGCTGCTGACAGTCTGTTCACATAGTTTTCAGCTTATAGTTTCCTCAGTTTCTTCAGTTTCTTGGACCAATAACATATTTACAGTGGGTACAATTCCAAGCTTCCAGGTTTTGAAAATTTCAGCCTAAATGTTGCTGTCACTACAGAACACAGTAGCAGAGAACTTATAACACATTTTGCTCTGAAAATACCATATTTCACAATAATTACTTGAAGCTTGGCATGGCAGAAATGCTGTCAGGGCAACACCCTTTGCTGCAGCCATAAATATATCCACATTCAAAAAAAACCCAAAAAAACCCAGAGTTTGCAAATTCTCAAAGGAAACTGAGATTACAGTACCTAAATTCATTAAAGATTTCTATCAGCCTAGAGTCAAATAACACTTTTTAAAGCAAAAAGTGGGAGAAGTTCTAAACACAAAGAAATGTCAGACTTGTGACTCAGTGCAGGGGAAATGCATGTTCTGCCTATGACTCAGGAGTATATGGCAGAGGAAACCACTGAATGAGAGAGAGGCTTGCTTTATGTGTCATCAAAGCTGGAAAAGCAGTGGAAGGGAACTGCAAGAAATGTAAAACAGTTATAATACTAACTGCCATAATTATGACAAAATGGTACTCTCCTCTGAGAGGCAGAATCCCAAATGACAAGACAGGTCTGCTAAATGAACACATTGTACATGGTGATGATCTGGATGATCCTCAAATTCTGAAGCCTGACTTGTCTTTAGAGTTCAGTTATGGTTTGCAAAAATACTGAACCTCACAGGTGTCTCTGCAGATGAGCTCTGAACAGAAAGCACGGTATCACTCCAAGCACTATGAAATTATAAAAGTTAGGTTTCGTGAACTGCTCACCCCAAAGTAATGGAGTCTTCCAAACATAAATCTCTCCATTGTCTCTGTTCTCCCTTTGTAAAATACAAGCAACATTAACCCTATTGCACCTCTCAGTAATGTTGCAGAGCTAATAGTGGAAAAACTCCAGGTGAATTTAAAAAAAGAGAAAATGGGCAATTTTGTGCTCAAAAGAGACCTTGAGCAGCATGATAAGCCTATACAAACCCAATCCAGCTCTGTTAAGCTCAAGTATCTTGACATCAGCCTACATGAATATGAAACAGAGCTGTGCTAAGAGGCAAATAGAACAGATCCATTAAAGAAGAGAGGCTATGAAAAAACATTGTATGTTGATATGTAACAATACAGCACACACTTGCAAATACTCATGAACATGTAAGCTTAGTGCTGGCAATTCTAGTTTCACAGTGCAACCTTGATAATGTTCTCCAAATGTAGCAATTTTGAATAGAACAAGTAATAAATTAAAAAAACCCCAAACTAAAACTGTGAAAGAAAGAAATACATAGAAACAAGGCACATTTCTCAGAACTCTAAGTCACTGAGGAAGTCAAAGCAAAATATAACAAATTACTCAAGGTCAGTGATGTCTTATTTTTTGAGCAATCTGGTCTAGTGGAAGGGGGTTGGAAATAGATCATCTTTAAGGTCTCTTCAAACACAAACCCTTCCATGATTCCCTGGATGCTTTTGTTGCTGAGTGACAATAAATTGATCTGATGTGATGTCAGTAGGACAGTTTCTTAGCAGATAGTAACAGCTACATTTTCACGCTTGCCCTTTTTTACAAGGAGAATTCTGATGACTTTACTTCAGGTTTAATTCTTGTTGATGTGTATCCAGTGTACTGATACTGCTGAGTCTTGTTCCTTGACTCCTTCTTCAAAAAAACAACCACATAGAAAATGAAGTACCTGACCAAGGGCTGCCCCTTCTAGAAAACAGAGATAGCTTAATAGATTTGTTACTCCTCAACAAAGAACTATCTGTACCATCTGAAATTCCCTGTCAGCAGCTGTAAATGTGTGGAAGGGAGAGCAAGCAGCTCAAACACTGAGAACCACAACAGACTTCCTAAGCTAGCAGGATATGTTGATTTACCACAGTTGTGAGTAACACTGGCTGTTGAATAAATAGTTTCAACTTTAAACAAAGGTATTCCTTCATGCACTTCACTAACAGAGCATTTTGCAAGACAAAACCTTCTTCTTAGCTTAGGAAGATAAACCTCATCACAGGCTGGCTCTTACAAAACATGAAAAAAAAAAACCTAGTGGAAATGTAGAGAAATTCAAAGTTAGCCAAACAACAAGAATCAATCAATCATAAGAACTGAGTGGTCTGAAAAGAACGCAAAATAAAAAGATTAGATTAGTACCATGAAAAAAACACATTGGCATTTCTGAAGAATAATGCAGAAGTGTGTATTTTGCAGCACATACCAAATTCCAAAGGGAATCCATGAAGATTTGCTATTTCTCTTGGAGTAAAGTACCTCAGTTTTAATGTTGACAATTTCATAAGCTTCTCTTCTTCTGATAACTCGTCAATGTGTTTAAACACAGATTCAAGCTATGAAGAATAGCAAAACCAAGAAATGTGACTGATGCAGGCCAAATATGTAAAATTTACAGGCACATCTTAATGGAATATTTCCTTAATCATCAAAATGACAAGGACAATAGCATGTTTTGCTTGAAAGGGTCATTTGCATTCTGGTTTTGCAGCAAACATCTCAACACATGGATTTGCAAGAAAGAAATCAATGTTGCCATGAGGACATTCATAATTTCCTTCTCCAGTTCCAAGCTACCAATACTTAATGGGGCAATCAAAGAGCATACATTTGTTAAAGACAAAGGACAGTGACTCAGTATAACTCAATAACAGACCATTCATACAAATTAAGTTGCGTGGATGCAGCTGTTTTAATACTCTCGCTCTGAGATTATCCTGAATTCCAGAGCTGCATTCCTCTTATGCTTAGAAATGCCCTATAATATTAGTGAATAGCACAGAAGTGCAGGAGGAAGGGCTTGTGTACAACACAGGCTTTGTGAAAAGTATCTCTGAATGCTGATTAACCAGAACATTTATTACCTTCCCCAATGCCCAAATACTACTTGGTCATGAACTTATTCTACTATTCTATCAATAGCAGAACTTTTCAAAATACTCTTTGCAAACAAATAATAATTTTGAAATTCAAAAATGTTACGCATCTGACAATATCTATTGAATTATATGCATACAAACAACAGCCCTTGATTCATAACACTGTACTTCAGGTTCTCCATAGAACTAGTATTTTTTAAGGTTTTCACATACCTCTGTGAAACCTCTGTATGACATGACAGATAAAAATAATAGCAAGTTATGTTCTCCTTACAGAGAGACACAGATATTTCGGTCTAAACAAACTCCTGTCTAGGAACACAAACTGGAAACTCAGTTGCCATAAAATGTACATTTAAAGTATTATTTTTTTATAACATTCAGAATAACAAATGAGAAGACAGAAAAAAACCCAAGCTTTGAAACAAGTCTCAAGTTTTAAAACAAGTCATTCCAAAATGTTAGACTACACACTTACCTGTACATCTACTGCTGTCTGCAGAACTGAGCCGGTCCCTTCTACATAGTGTCCATACCTTAAAAACAACAACAATCTTAAATTAACATTTTCACTGTATTTCATGGCATTGACAATTGCAAAGGTGCAGGGAGGTTACTGAGGTTTCTTTCCCTTGATGAACAAACAGCCTCTTGGATAGATAAAGCAGAAAGCCTTGTTATAAATGCTGTTAACCCCTGGAGTGCAGTACCCTCTGAATGTGCTCTCTGGGGATGGGTCTGTCCTCAGTGCTCAAGAGTTTAGCCACACTAGTGTCTTATACATGGCAAATACAAAGGCAAGGAATTCAAGCATAGGACCACCAAAAAAACTCCCATCCATATTGCCTAAACCAATTTTACATTAGGGCAAAATGTGTGAAAGGTCAAATAGTCCCACGGCTTCAAATTAGTGATCCTTATTAAAAGGAGGACCACTAGTGTGAGCCTTCAGTTTTCATGTCAAAGCATTAGGAACAAAGTGCTTCAGTCAGGTTTAATTTCTGGTTGCTTGTGGATTTTCCACTGAAGGAAGGGTGATGGCCAGGCATCCATGCAGAGCAGTAGAAGAAAGAAAGAAAGAAGAAAAAAAATCTAAATCCAAGTAAACCGTAAGTAAACTTGCATACTGAAACCTGTGATAGCTGTTCTGCATGCTTTGTAGTTGATTGCTTAACAACATGTTTACTCAGTAGCCTCTTCAATGCTATCATTTAAATATAATTATGGGCTTTCAGAAACATGCTCTGTTGGTCTAACTATGGCAGTTTGAACATTCTGAACAGAAAGAGAGTGAGTCAAGACAACAGATGGCTTTGCCCTGTGGAAGAACTTCAGAAGATTCCCTGCATTAGAGGGATGTGGTCTGCATCAATTGTTAACAGACACTATTCTCTAGTTTTATCTGTACAACTGTAAGGACAATTATAAAGGTCTTTTGTTCCACTTGGGACCCATTCCTAAAGCATGGCACAAGTTATGTTTCAAGCCTCTCTAATCCCACAGTGAATAAAAGAACACTTTCCGTTCAGCACAGACACAATGACCCAGCATGGCTCAATCTTCAGTACTCCATTCTCGGCTGAAAAAGACACAATTAGTTCTGCCAGAGCAGCACTCATTCAAAAAAGTGGTTACAAATCTTCCTCAGGATCAGAACACCTAAACACTGTTACAGATTAAATACACATGGAATCTGTTTTGTAAATACATCATCTTTAATTGGTTTAATCTTTAATTCTGCAAATTCCCTAACACAAAGTTTAACAATGTAACACACACACTGAGGAATCCTCATCCTTTTCCTCTTATAAAGCATCTGGTAATGTTTCAGCTTAATATAACTGAGCCAAAATGAATAAATGGGGTAAAATTCAGAGTGGTATTGAAGTGTTTTATTGGAAAAAATAAATATTCCTGTCTAAATAACTGGCACTAGGGTACAGAACTCCTCCCCCACCCAAAAAAAATCCAGTTGGTGTCTGTGTGCATTGAAGTCTGTGTGTGTGAGCGTGTGTGTGTTGGTTTTTTAATACAAATGTGGGCATACGGCTAATGTAGTGTTAGCTGGATTGTTATTTATAATTATTGAAGGTGCTGACTACAGAAAAGTTAACATTCCTACCTTAGACCTGGAACATAATTAAATTTTGTCACAGTAAAAAAAATGATGTATTGATTTTCTGACAAGATTCATTACAAGTTACAATGAAAGAAGCTGGCTTAAGAAATTACAGTCTTCAATTTTCATCTGATTCAAGATTCCCCGCCTCTTTTATTTCTGTAAGGTTTAAAAAAAAATCTTTTCATTTCATACATGTATTTTTTCTGGGTATATTGTGTTGTATATTATGACTGGCAAAAAGTAATTTACACAAAGTGAGAAATCTCTACTGTAATTGATATTTGCTCTATTTTGAAATGTATTGCTTCTGTTGTCAACAACATATCAAAATTTAAAGTATGTCCGGAACAACTACATCTAGAGAAGTTAGATATGTTTTTCATTTTCTCTGTCCTTTAAAATACTCAACTTCCTTTCAAAACTTCAGCCACCACAAACACACTCCAAAGAGAAAGCATGGTGTTGGTAGTCTCACAGAACTCAGCAATCATTCACTAAGTGCCCAGGAAATCAGTGTCAGAAGGGCACACAGAATTACCTGCTTGATCTCTCATGCATTACATTTTGTTTTAACTCCACCAAAGCTTTTCAAAAGATGTACTGGTATAGCAAAAATCACTGAGGAACTATCTGTGTTTGAGGTCCCTGAATTAGAAAGGACTAGAGAAGGCATACCCAGATTATTTCCATCATGTGAATGTTGCTAGAAATACCTGAAAACCAAAGAGAAAAGAGGGAGATTTTTCTCAAAACTGATGGTCAGTGCAATTTACAAGACAGACACCAGACAGGCACAGCAGCAGAGGGATTCTCTGTACTACCAGGAGTGCTGTTCCACCCTATTCAGGGGTCTTTTTCCTAGGTCTCATGCTTCAGAGAAATATAAAAACAAGAACATCTGGAACAGATACAGCAGGGACTTATTTTTGGCCTCAGAAAGTGACTTTAATGAGATGTAATTATAAACCTTCCCTTAATGCAGAGCTGTAAATGAGATGATTACACTGAGAAGCATGTTGGCAATCTACCTTCCCAAAGGCTCTTGAAAAACAGACCAAAGATGGTAAATCAGACAGAACTACCACCACAACTACCTCCATAGGAGCAGAGGGATAAGAGTCACCTTCCCTGGTGTCAGATTACCCACCCTAGGTACAGAGACTTGATCTTAACTACCCAGGAGCCTCCTTCAGTGTGATTTTGATAAACATGACCACAAACTACTATGACATATTCTAGTGTAACCACAAGTGGCCAATTACTTTCAATGACACTTAAGGCATACAGAAAACACATCAGACACCATTCTGGCTAAGGGGTTTTTTGACTATTCTAGTTTAGAAAGATAGTCCACAAGATGCTGACTCCCCCTCAACTCAAAAGAGTGAGGGCAGCAAAGGCACATACATATATATCAATGAGAGCTGAGGGAAGACCTTTCCCATTGCACAAATTTCAAACTTTTGAAATTCTTTTTCTTCTTCTTTATTTCTAAACCTTGAAAATAATAAAAAAATTTAAAAACCCGCAGGAATTCTATTAATCTGGAAGTCTAATTTCTCCTAATTAAAATAAAAGTTACACTTTTATTTTAACTCATCATCCAAGACATCTTATTGAAACACTCAGCAAACTCAAAAAACCAATCCAATTAGAAAAATTTATCAGTATTAAAAATTTCCACAAATTTGCAGGCTCCAACTGGAATGTTTCAATACAAATGCATTCAGTGGAAAAGTCTCTGACCAGTTGTCCACAGAGTTTCAGAACACTCACCAACTTCTAGAAGTCAAACTTAAAATTGCAAGGTACAAATCAGAAAACTACTAGACAGAAAAGCACTGATGTTCTGCTCCATCAAATATGATTTGTAATGCAGCAACCTAACTGGTTTCATGACAATCCACAGCTATTCTGATCTATATAGCTGAAAAATCCAAGAAATCAATAAAATGTACAGTGGAGACAGATTTAATGAGGAATGGATCCGTCATGCATGACACTTTTGTAACTTCATTGAGCAATATAAAGAAATTCATTAATGAATCAGCACTATACCAGTCTACTGGAACCATATTTCCGCAGGGGTAATTAAGCTTCTGTGAAGGTCAACAACAAATGGCAACTGTCTTTTGTGAATGCCTTTTTGGAGTGGGCACATGATGTTCTGCCAGACAGATTCTCATGCAGGCATTCCACTGGACCAGCAATCACACTGTGTAAGGAGATTTCTTTTAAAGGCCTAGGATTTTTTGATGAAACACCTCTCTGTGATTTTACAGGACACAAGCGAGAAAATACACTTAAAATTTCAGGACATGATTTAGCAAGGCATTTTCTTGGCACCTTACCCTTTAGTAAAGCATGTGGATCTCCGGCAGGTGGGTTTAACAATGTCTAACAAGAGAGCATAGCGCAGCAAGGACTTTGGTGGTAAGAAATATTGACTCATTTCTTCGTTTTCCTCTTCCAAGAAGTCTTTTAGCATTTGAATAGAGGAATCATTATCCTGATTATGTTTCCTTTCCATCTCTTCTACTGTTTCAAGCTTAAATAGAAAGGCCCCTTTTGGTAAACTCTTCTTGCTGCTGCAATCTGGACCAATGTTTAGATGCAGGTTCTTCTCCTCAGAGGACAAAGAAGAACTAGTTTCACCCACTTTGTCAGCACCTTTTTCCTTGAGTAAATCCTGATCTGGGAATCTTGTCAATATCTAAGAGGAAATTATGACAAAAATAAAATTAAAGAACTGTATTTAATAAACAACTTGACAGCCAACCATACAGAGAGTAAGAAGTCCTTCCGAGATGCTCACAATAACTTTTAGAAGTTATTTTAATGAAGATTTCAAAAGCAGTAGCATCAAGATTAGCAGACCTATTGGCAATGATGTCAGAACAGCCTAAAATAATTGCCTTTGCAAAAAGACCTTTCCAAGTGTGTAAAAAATGTAGCAATATGATATGTTTTCTACCCCACTATCAGGCTAGAAAACACATCTCCCAACTGTTTAAAGCCATCTAAGCCACAGGCATGAACATCAGTCCTTACAAAGATCCAGGCTGAAAAAAGGAGACACAATTTAACTCTTCTGTTGGAATCACTCGTTCTTCTCCATTCATCAACACACACCAATAAACTGAAAATTTAACCCTCAATCTTCATGAAATGAAGCAAATTCAAGTATTATAAATAGACTCACTTGTCCAGGAGCTTGAAATGAAAATGGTTCTTGGTGAAGCTTTGCAATTAGAAAATACCGCAGCCTAGAATTGGGAATGCCAAGCTGTAATCAAAATTCAGAAGCCTTTAGTCCATGTGATAGTAAAGAAAAAGTGGTCTATTGCGTCATACAAGTTATCTGCCATTACATGCAGTAACAGAACTATGACACACTAATATATTTTATTACTTCAGAGATATCAGTATTTAAAGAATCAGAGATTCATAAAATGGTTTGTGTCATCTAGTTCCAAGCTCCCTGCTGTGGGTAAGGACACCTTTCACTAGCCCAGGCTGCTCAGAGCCACATCCAACCTGGCCTTGAACACTTCCAGGGATGAGGCATCCAGAGCTTCTCTGTGCAACCCCTTTCCGTGCCTCACCATCCTCACACAAAGAACTTCCTCCTGATTCTACTCTAATACTACTCTTTAAGTTTGAATCCATTCCCCCTTGTCCTGTAACTGCAGACTCTGGTAAACTGTCCCTCTCTGTCTTTCTTGTAGTTTCCCATCAGGTACTAGAAGGCTGCAATTAGGTCACCCTGAAGCCTCCTTTTTTCCAGGGTATTCTCTTGGTATTAGTTGGTAATACCTGCACACACTTGTAACTTCCATACCTAGGGACTTCCAAAGATCCAAGTGATCCAATTATTCTCTCTATCTCATAGTTTTGACTTTCTCTGTAAATGAATATGAATGTAAACAAAATTTTATAAAGCAAAAAAGTCTCTCTTTGCATTTTTAAACAAGGAACTATAAAACACCTAAGTGATTCAAGAAGAAAAATTTACATGCCTTACGATTACTTGGCACAATAATATTATTATTAAACAATTACTTGTTTTCTGTTAAAAGCAAAAAAGTCTCTCTTTGCCTTTTTAAACAAGGAACTATAAAACACCTAACAATTAAATAAATCTACCACAATTGGTTTTCAAGCTACATTCTATTAGCTTCTCTCAAATATTTATGGTACTTCACTGATTCCAGTTAGTCTTGCATAATCTGAAATTTCTCTCAAACTTTTTTCAGTTGCCAGGGTAACACAGAAACAAAGCTCCTCCTCCCACAAGAAACAGTCACATTTTCTGTGCTGGGAAATCCAGAGCCACAGCACTTCTGAAGCAGTGAGGCTCCTGCAGGGAAAACCACCTTCCTGGTTACAGTGGAAATTCATGCCTTCTTAAAAATATCAAATGGCAGCAAAGCAATATGGGACTATGATCTGAACACAAACAGCAATATAATTATGTCAGTATGAGAAATTAGAAGTCGTGTCAGTTGGTTTTCTCATTCAAGTGTATGCTTTGAGCATGACTCTCTTTTCTAACACAGAAGAGAATTTTCAAATGTTCTTGGACTCAGTGCACTTTGACCTATTAAACAATATTAGAGCAATTTTAGTACTCACACAGGTTGGAGACAAGAGAAATTCCTGATATTTAAATCCACATGTTGCTAGTGTTTGCAAAAGTTCATTTCTGAAAGGAATCAAAAAGCAATTATTCCCTTCACGTAGTCTTTAGCTCTTTTTATAATCCTAAATAAATGCAGATTAAATTCAGTATCATATTTACCAAAGCATTCATTGAAATAATTGGACAGCAAATTACTGATATGTCATCCATTGCTGAATTTGAGAGACATCATACGAAGTTCAGTGTTAGAGTCTATTACACATTCAAAGGCACCTCACTCTTACTACAGTGCAAATGCCTCTTCAAAAAATGTTTCATCTCTAGGAAAGTAATTGTGGTGTGTCAACAAGGAAACTAATCAGAGGGCAAGATACTCTCTTTACTGGGAATCATAAAACAGGAGATTAAAGCCACTACAAATAGGTCACTACTTCCTTCTGCACAAATACACAGCACTGGCTAAGCCAAAAAGGCTGAATTGAGGGATGACAAAAATCAGTGGCTTTGATTATAAAAATGAGGTGGGCCTGTGCTTCATAAACAATGGAAAGAGACTGTAATGGAAATAATCTTAAAAAGACTTCTCTTCTGTATTCCATGCAGACTGCAGTAGGCTGGAACTATACAACAGGCAGGAGCTGGGACCTGTACCCAGCACTGTATGTGAGACTGCATCCCAAGTGTCTTAAGAGAAAACAAGTGTCCTAACCAAGGTGTTTTCTCAAGCACAGCTTGTCACAAGCACTGGCCAGCAAGGCACAGCTTAGGGAACCCTGGGGGCTACAAGAGAAGACCAGGAACACTGAACCAGCTGAGCATGTCTCCCAGCTGCCTGCCGTATTGATTAAGAGCACGATATGCAGGGTGGCAGCTGGTGCTATAAGGAGTGCACGGGAAGATCCCACTCCACTCCAGTGAGAACTGAGAAGGAAGATGGCAACTCTCTCTCTCTTGTTTTGGTCACAAGAGAGGAGAGTGCTCCTGTTGTCATTATGCAACTGCAGTGACATTTTTCCTCTTCCACATTTCAGACCAGGACTAAATACATCTTACTGCATCTCTGGACCATTTGATAGCAGCCCTGAACCAGGGATAACCTACTATCAACAGAGGCACTCAAGAGAGCCCCAGGCTATTCTGTGATCATAACACAAGATACCATAGGATCCTGTCATGAATAAGCCCTTGAAACCTCTGATTGTAACACCTATTACTATTTTTCTTTGAAAACTAATTCTGACCTTTTCTAAAGCAAACATATCATCAAATCAAATAAAATACTCACCAAATAAAATTAAAAATAAAATACTGTTGTGTTTTATCCACACAGAGATATAACCACTTATCTAGCAAGTTCTTTTCACAACCTAAGATTTTAATTCCTGTCCCATCTCAAGCTATTTTGTTAACTCCAATTCTAGGAAATAAAATTCCCTTCTAAAGAATAAATCCCTTCTCCTTCTAAAGAACATACCCTTTTTGCAAGCTAATACCTGCATATGTTAATTACAGTTTACCTTGCAGAAGAGGATTCAAATCCTTTAACATTTTCTAAAAGTAGGTATTTTGGAAGCTTCTGAAGCCTACAGGGAAAAAAAAAAAAGCAAATCAGTGTAACAAGATGTAAAGTACATTATATTCATCCACAGATCTGTTTAGCTAGCAGAAAGATCAAAGTATTTCCACATCATGCTAGCTGTTAAAGTTTAGCATCGTTAAAAAACAACTGAATTAAAAATGTGGACTGCTGGTAAAAACCACAAAACCCCCCCTATGTTTGGATGAACAGCTGTACCCTCTTGTACTCCATGAATGTACTTTTGAAAATGTTTATCACTTTTCATTTCCTAAAGCACAATAATATTATTAAAGAGATTCAGTGTGTAATAGGAAATATAATTGTTGGAGAAAAACCAATTGCTACTTAGCCATAAAACAGTTGTTTTCAAGTGCTTGTACCTGAAATCAGTGTCAAAATGTCACATGAACCTTACTGATAACACATCAGAAACATTATTCATTTAACTGGTTTAAGAAACACAATTTGAAACATTTTGAAAATGTTTATCACTTTTCATTTCCTAAAGCACAATAATATTATTAAAGAGATTCAGTGTGTAATAGGAAATATAATTGTTGGAGAAAAACCAATTGCTACTTAGCCATAAAACAGTTGTTTTCAAGTGCTTGTACCTGAAATCAGTGTCAAAATGTCACATGAACCTTACTGATAACACATCAGAAACATTATTCATTTAACTGGTTTAAGAAACACAACATATTTAGAGTTCAAACTGCAGATATTCTCATTTTTCTAAACTTGACTCTTTTATTTTGATAGGGGGAAGGAGGTGTCTTAGCTTTAGCAGGATCAGTGCAAAGGTCTGGAAATAGGCACATTCCAAAAACAGTGTATTAAATCTCTGGAGAAATGAGCATGCCCAAACTGTGCCAAGGACTGTTCCAGCAATTTAGAAGCTTAGATGATTCAGATTCAAGTCTCTGGGAACATTCTGTAGCACTGATTAATTCTCTAATAAGGCTAATGTAGACACACAATGTCTGTCACACACTGGGATCTCAGAACAACATACAGAAGTCGGATATTAATGCCCCCAGACAGCAGCTTTGTGCTTATTGAAGTTAGTGACTTTGGACTTCCATTGGAACAAATCACAGCAGAATTTGTTTCAGCACATTTTTAATTACCACCAATTAAAGAATGAATTAAAAGAACCAATGCATCTCACAAGAAACTGGAAAATGTACAAAAAACTATGTCAAATTTAAAAATACTAAAAATAATAGGGAAATACTAAAAATAATAGGGAAAAAGTAATACTAGGCTAAAAAAAAAGCAGCATCAGCCAAATTCCTAGCAGAGGAATGGAGAATATTCTGCTGGCATGTCTACCCACACTCTTCATCATTGACTACTATGAAACTTCTTTTTCAGCAGTGAATCCAGAGCACAGCCTGAAATGCAAGCACTCATAGGGGATTGACAGATCACAAGGCAAGTAATCACTGTACAAAAAGGAAGTGTTAAGTACTTGGCAGGTATTAACATTAAAAATGTTTCTGTAAAAGCAGCACTTGGATGTTTTAGCATTGGATTTCACTGGGTTATGGCTTGGACACGATAAACAGACCAACATCTGGACCATTTGGGTTGGACTTTGCTGGCTGGGTGTTCCAAGGATTTCCCATGTCTTTCCAGATCTTGAAATTTTTCTTTCCATTATCTCTAATATTTGCCATCCTAGGCTACCTCTGTGTCTCGTTTCAGCAGTATTTCATTATAAAAGACTGAACAAAAGCTAAGTACATCCAAGGGATGATAAATTATTTTACACTTTTCATAAACTGCATGCACACCATAGCAATTTAAAATGTAAAAGGATAATTCCTACAGTAAGAGTTTCCTTTTTTGAGGCTGAAGTACTCCATACTCAATGTCTCACAAATGTATCATATTCAAAAAACACATAAGTGCTATCTTAGTAAAACACAAATGCACTGGAATTGAGAAACTCTACAGAAGCCATCATGTTGAACCTTCTAGTGACTACTTAGAGCAAGTGCTGCTTCAAGAACCCTCCCCGAGAAGATAAGGGACATTAGCAGTGTCTCCTGGGGTGCTGAGATAAAAGCAAGACAGCCAAGCCCAGGTCCTTTGCATCGTCATGATAAAAATACAGGTCCTGGAGTGTCTAAAGCTTTGGTTTTGAGAAGGAAAAGCTTCTGCTGTTTATCCAGCTAAGTCCAGAGCAACTGGGAAGCAGAATTTCCGTATTAATGCACTACAATGTCCAAAAATAGCCAGCCTCTTAACCATGTTTCAGTTTAATGGAAAGGAATCCCCAGGTCAGGAGATGCCTTTAAGGATATGGAAGACACTATTATTCTGACAAATTAACTTACTCAGTATCTGCCAGGTTTCATTTTTCATTTTAACAGATCAGTTGGAAACCTGTGTTACATTTCTCGTTTAACAAAAGACATCCTCTGCAATTTCTAAACAACCCCCATTCTCTCCCTAATTTTGTGTCTCTGACAGAAGCAGGGGAGTAGTAATACCCGTTCCTTTTTACCTAGGAATTGTCTAACTTACTGGGCCACAGAATCTGTGTTTTGTTCTGTATTGTCTGCCACAGATTTCTTATGTACGACCCTGCCAAGCCACTCAGCCCTTCTGTGTCATTGCTCTCTCTCTGCTCATGACAAGGACAAAGACACAGCTCCATTTAATGTTGTTGGCTGCATAAAGTTTCTAGAACAAGGATGAAGACTCTTTTCTCTCAGTGCTAACAGCAGTTTGAAAGAAAGGCTTTTTGGTACTGACTTCCTTCTGTTTTGAAAGCATTCATAAAAAAAAAAAAAAGAAAAAAAAGCAAAAGAGACAACAAACATTCATCTGCTCTCCAATCCTGACAGCAAGATGAACTAATGGAGGAATACATAGGGAACAGCTGTCCTAGTCTCCAGGTGAAGCAAGATTGCCACTAATACAAATAATTATGGCTGTTTTATTAGGAACTGGGATCTGACCAGGCAAAAAACAACAGATGAATTCAACGACACTGTCCAGACAATGCAGTGCTATTCAAATTATTTAGTATTAGTACTCCAAACAAGAGATTGTACTACAAAACAAAAATATACAATCTGCCCCAAGATATCGAGGCAGCACCAAAAAGAACAGACTTTAAGAAAGAACAGAAGTGGCTGCAAGACGCATGGCATTGTAGTCAACCTCTGCCCCAAGATATCAAGGCAGCACCAAAAAGAACAGAGACTTTAAGAAAGAACAGAAGTGGCTGCAAGACGCATGGCATTGTAGTCAACAGCATACTTAAACCAATTTTCAAATGGTAACACTTCAAAAGATGACTGTATGTTTAACCTAAGCTTTTGTAACCCAATATTTTAAAAACTTTTCATGTTTCCATGAGTCCAATAGACCAACAATTATATTACCTACTCCTGTTTCTATATAAAATCAATGCAAATTTGATGTTGAACTGAAAAGAACTCTTTCCTTTCATTTATTGTGTAGGCATAGTTTAAACAGACAAGCAATGAAAAGGAAACCAGATGATGAAGGTATATACAGCAACAATGAAGTGATGAGAGCATTAGTAAAATACAAGTATTTGTAAGTTACATATGATTATGTGAAAACAAACACAGAATACATCACAACACTAATAGTATCCCTCTAAAACATTACAGATATCTTGTCTCACTGAAATATAGTAGACTAGAGCATTAGTAAAATGCAAGTATTTGTAAGTTACATATGATCATGTGAAAACAAACACAAAATACATCACAACACCAGTAGTAACATCCCTCTAAAACATTACAGATATCTTGTCTCACTGAAATATAGTAGACCTAGTTGTAACAAAGTCTAGTTACAAAAGGGGCTTTACAATGGAGGTAGAAGTTTATACCTTGGGAGAATATCAAGGATATAGAGAAAGCTCTTAGTCCGTGGATCAGACACATCACCTTGCAGACCAATTCTAAGAAAGAATAAAGAAACAGTGGTGTATTACTCAGAGCAGACTGACATTGGAGCTATATTTTTCTACAGAATGCTGACACTTTGCTTTGAGTTTCAAAAGGAGATTCTGCAAAAGCCTCACGTACAGACAGGAGGACCTGCTCACAGAGGCAGTGTCCTGAGAGATGTTCTAAGGAATGAAAGTCTGCCTCTGGAATCCATCAGCTCACAGAAAGGTTAAAATTGAAGCATTCAGTAATGAAATCCACTCCCCAGTCTGCAAAGGCTTTAGCATTCTGGTCTTGTCCTGCAAAGTCTTTGAACATACTTGGCTCTGAATGAACAAAAAACCCCCACTGGGTTTCTGGGAATACCCTGCTATTTTGCACTGAATATATTAAATTATTTCTATGAATTAAAGCCTCATTGTTCACCATTTAGCAGGATTGAGCCCCACATGAACAACTTTGGAATCAATTTTGTAACACTAAACTGGAAAGATTATATAGGTTACAAAAATGATAATGATTCCAGGCCTGTGTTTCCCTAGCTTATACTTGTATCAGATCATAAAAAAAGAATAAAAGCTTTGTAGAAGAGCTTTAACATGTATCTAAATTAATCAGTCATACACAGATTTTTCTTTTCATCATATTATAAAGAAAAAATTCTGAAATCTTTCCTATATACATCATAGGTTTGCACTAATTCATTTTTTACAGATCAGCAACACTTTACAGGGATTTCTTTTCAATCTTAGAACATTCAATGAGATATATTTTCTTACACAACCATTATTATCACCATCAACAGACTTTTTTCATTAAGCTACTACTTTGCATGTGTGCAGTTACTAGAATCTTACCCCACTGGTCACTGATGTCAAATGAAATTAATTACAAATTAATCTGAAAAATAACATCTCAATAAACTCAGTCCTTAATCAGCAAGATGCTTCTCTTTATCAGCCACAAAATAATTTCAAAGCCATTATCCTTCTGGTCTTGGCTAAAATAGAAATATTCTTCAGAATAAACTGTGTGCATGTGCCATTTCCAAAGTACAAATAAAACCAGATTACACTCTTAAGTCTCAGGCAGAACCAAGAAATTCCAATCCGCCTTCTGGAGTTGCCCCAGGAAAATATTAGATTGATATCCAAAAGGAAAGGCAGGACTCCTAAACACTAAATTTTACTATTAGAGGAATAACACAGTTCATAAAATTGGTGCTGTAAGAGGCTTACTTAAACTGAATTAATATATACATAAGCAAGAAATGTGATCAACAATTAAGATGCAAATTGCTGCAAATTTCTTTCTTTCTTTTTTAAGATGCAAATTTCTTTCACTTCAGTAAACATCATGGTAAACAGAGCTACAACACATTTGCTTAGGAAGAGAAAGATACACAGATCACCCACAGAGAATGTCACTATGTCGTGATAACATTTCTCCTTTGACCACATATAGTGCCATAACTGCACTTTTTTCCCCAAGTGTGCTGTACCTACCTTGTAAAAGGCTGACAGGGAGGGCTCATCAAAATCATATCAAAAGATAATCTGTCAAATTCTTCCAGTGTTATGCCCTGAAAACAGAAAAAAATAGAATAATGATGAGTGTTGTGAATTGTATGAAATTCTCAAGTCATCTTTCAGACCAAACTACCCCTCTTACTTCCAGTATGCTTCATTTAGCAAAAAACTACCTGATCACTCACCTGACATAGTAATTTCAAAATCTTTTCTACTCTGGCAAACCATAAAATGTAAATATGCACTCACTGCTCTTCATATGAAACAAAACACTAATACTAATTAAGTACATTATGTAATTTATACATAATCTTGAGGTTTCTATCTGCTCATTCTTTGAGGTGTGCAGTGGTTCTTTCAGTAGATACTCACCTATTATTTCTATCATTACTCAGATATTAAGCCTTTGTATATCAAAATCAGTCTTTACATAGTCAAAATATGTGTAAATAACATCTGAGAAGTAAAGGAGCTCAAGTGTAAATAAGATAATTTTTACAAATCCAAACTAGGGGTTTTAGCTCTTAGGAGCTCACTGGTAATGCACCCTGTAAAGTTTATTTCATAGTTTTTCCCCTATAAAAATTAGTCAAAGATATTGTATGGCTGAAAGTCTCCTCTACAAAGCCAATCCTTTGGCACAGAATTAGGTCTGTGGTAGGAATTAATTATACAGGTAGAAATTCCTCTAAACTAAGTTTTCACCAGCACTAAAAGATCAACACATTAAGGGGCTGGGAGGAAAGACTGATCAAGTAACTATGACTTAGACAAAGAAACCACTCCTTACATATTCTGAGGGATACCTATACAGCAAATGCAATGTAGCTACCCAGAAAACGAGACAAAAGCTGCTATTTTTTTCCATTATATTTGAAGAAGGTGTCACTGACTCTAATAATCTGCTCTTGTCTACTACAGAATGATACAGGCAAAGATTAATCTTCTTTTTCCATTATAAAACTATCATTTAGGCAGTTATTATTGAGTGCTGAATAAGCATTTAACCTTTAGCCACCTATTTAACTCTTACTTAAGCTGGCGTCTTAAAACAGACACAGTATCTTTTACTGTCGTGTTGTAAAACCGTAAAAGCAGATTAAGAAGCATACAGTAATTTCTAACTCAATCCAAGCAAAACCATGCCTAGCTTGCCTCTCATCTATTAAAACAGATTATTTTAATCCAATTTTACTTATTTTTCAAATAATTTGGCAACTGACAGAATTCCTAAAACATTTTATCTATTGACCCTATTTAAAAAGATTCAAGAGTGCTCAGTCCAGTATATTTTGTTGTGTTTCTCTGAGCTCAATTATAACTTCAAAACAAAGGCATGCCACTAAGTAATTTAATTAAATTTTTTCAAAGTGCATGAAAATATTTTTTTTAATCTAAAAATATGATTTTTGACATTCTTTTACTGATGGTAAGTGCTCCCCTTGACATTTATATAACCTTTCTTCATGCAAACGGCAAGAATTTCAGGAAAAGCCTGCAGCATGAAATCCCTCTTACTTCAACAAGCAAATAGCACAAGCAATCAAAGTTATTGTAAAACTGCTTTATTCATAATAACATAAATATTTCTGTTTCTCTTGTTACTAATAAAGACAGTGAAAGCAACTCACATCTTACAAATGCCAGACTACAGTAAAAAACACATTAATTACTCACCTCAATAGTCTTTGCCCATAACGGCGTGCTGGGAAAGTTGTGCTTATAAACATCATTGGCAAGAGTGTTCACATCAACAGCAGCTACCACTTCTGCATATGTGCAGCTTTCTAAAATTAAAAAAATAATTTGAAAACTCTAGCTTCTCTTTACTACTCTTAGAAAAATGTATTTGCTCAGCTGTGTTACAGCATTGCTCAAAAACAAAAGCAAATTACACAATCAAATTCTACTATATTGTCTTCTGAAATTTTGTATGAAAAACATACTCTTATTCTAACCATATGGGCAATGCTTCCCTTCTTTATATATGCAAAAATGGAAGCTAAAGGAGATTTAAAAAGTAGATAAGTAAAGCAGATTTAAAAATTCCAAACAGGGTGCACCTCTACAATATTTTCACTTCTGTGCAGGTCTCTGTGGCCAGCAAGTTCCTGGCTACAGGAATCCTAAATCAATCCTGCCAAGCCTCACTGCTACTGCCTTATCCTCTGGCAACCTACAAGAAATAAGTGTGTTATTTTAGAGGTGTACTACTTCTCATTATGAAAAAATAGCACCAATATGTTTGACATATGTCTACTCTTCCAATAAAAATTTAAGCTGTCTGAAAAACATTTGTGCTTACATTTGAGGCTTAGGCCTCAAACTCAACTGCTGCCTCCTTTGAGTTAAAGGTCCCAAAATACCAAACTTGGCAGCTCCTCCTCTCTTGGACAGAGGTGTTATTGAAGAGAGGACAGTGTAACAAACACAGCTAAAACCCTGAAATAAAAATACACTAAAAAGAATGCAAATAAACAACTGTTAATTTATAAATTAAGAGAGTAATAGGTTTAAAAGAAGCTAAAGAGATAAAAAGAGCAGTGTTCACTCCATTGCTCATCATGTCACACTATTTGTTATTATTAAACACAATACCTTCAGTGAGGCTTTTTATCCAAGAAGATGGGCTGTGGTTACTGTCACAGCTGCAGGCAGAGAAGTGACCCTACCTCCTGATACCCGAGATCAGTATCAACCACCAGGATATTCACATTATGGTCGGCATTACAAAGCCTCAGATGAAACACAGGCAACTTTAAAAAAACTTTTGTAAACCAAAAGAAACAAGGCAAACAGCCACATGCCTTTGAATAATCTCACAATATGCTCAAGTAACACATTAACAAATGACCTTATGAGACACCATATGAATTACTACTAGTCAGCTAATTATTTACAGTTTGAGAGGATGAAAGCCCAGCTGGGATGATCCCAGTGGATTTTATTTTGAATAATGCAGTTTCCATCCACCCACTATCTTTCAGGTCTTCAAGGCTGTCTTAGTCTAAACTAAGATGAAAGAGAAATCTGAATATTGAAAAGACTGTAGCAGACATTTTAACAAGGACCAAGCTGGCTCTTCCAGGTTTACTTGATGCAATCAAGGGCAAAAAGATAAGGCTTTTCACAAGATAAATACTTACAGACCACTAAGGGTCAACATACAAATCATTATTTGCCACTACTATCTTGACCTTTTGACCAGAAGTTGTAACTGAGAACTAAATACAGGTGTATCCACAAGGACAATAGCATGACTACACCTGAGATTACAGAACAGGTAAGTTAACACTGACACCTAGCGTGAAAAGAAAGCTGGACGAATGTCTCAATTTACAAACATATTCAAGAACCAACACTCCATCTTCCTAAAACAAAGCTGCAGCATCTAAGTAACAGGAACAAACTTCCAATACTGTTAAAGAGACTGCTTTTCTCACTCACTCCTTCAGTTCTTAAAACACATTGTCCTAACAAGCTAACCCTTACTATGTTTTCCAAGTACTCCAGAAGAAAAATAAAATTTAAAAAATCAAGACCCTCAAATTATTATCTCAATTAACACATAGTTTTAAAATGGCAATGGGGAAGGCAAGCTGTGTGCTTTCTCTCACAAACTCATGATTCAGACACTTATTTTTTTACTGCCATCCATTCAATAACTCCCTGCATACCTACAGGAAAAAATAGCAGCTGAGGACTTCACAGGCCCAAAAGCCTGGAGATAGGGGAAGAGAGCACACATCTAACAGGAACCTATTGAATCCTCTTGCAATACAATGTTCAGTCTAAACCAGAGACATAGGCCAGCATGGAAAAAGGACAGGAACTTTTCCTGAAGTATTCCACCTGAGATCCTCTCTTCCTCATTCAAAGATCTGATAACTTTTTCAAAGCCTCTCCTCCTTTTCATTTCAAAGTTGCAGCTCACTTGGGAATTCCTGTTGCAGAACAGACTCCCCCTAAAAGCTGATTAAGCATGTTTGTGTGGAAATGCCCTGGAAACGCATGAAGGAGCTCGAGCAGACAAGCGGCTCTCACACATCCAACCTAACAAAGAAAAGCTTGTCTAAATTTCAAACAATGTGAAAATGCAACATTTTTAAAGAACTTCTCCTGAAAGTTAAATAACTTTATGTCAAACTGTGATAGTCTGCTTTCCTATAGCAATTACATTTACTACTTGAAAATTACTATAAGGAATGCATCATAAAAAAAGCCTGAAAGCAGAATCTAAGATAAACAGAATCAAGACTGTGTTTAACTATCCCCACTGACAAAAGGCACAAAACCAACTAAGGAATCGCTGACTTGGTGGGATGTTAAATCAACTCCCCAAAATACATAGCAAAACTTCAATACAGAAATGCACACAGCTCTGGAGATCTTTTTATCCCCCTCAAAAAAGTACATCCAATTTTCAAAACACAGATATTTAAGAGAATTACAAATGCAGGAAACAGATAATTTTATTCAGACTAAAGAAAAAATAATACACATTTCCTAAGTGAAACTAATTGGCTGCTGGAATACATGATTTGTAGGATTCCTCCACACCAGTTTTTCAACTGACGCTTCATTTCTGAGCAAGATCACACGGTTCAAATGGAAGCCACAGATATGACAGGGAAGTTACTGAGGGAGGTGTTATGACCTATTTTCAGGCAGACTAGATTGTAGTATTTTCTCTTGGCTGAAAGCAGGTGAAATCAAATTTGTATCATTCTATTAGTAATGTACTGATCTCACACTTAAAGCTTAAAACCTCTTGGACCCAGACAGCAGGAACTCTTTGACTGTTACTTAAACTGCCTAAGATGCAGCAATCAAACTCTGAGTCCCAGTTCTCTACTTTATTGAATACACAATGCTTACAAGCCCTCTCAGGTATGGAGTAGTCATTCTTGAGGAAAAGGGACACTGCTGTAAGGATTGGAAGGAGATGCATTGGAAACAAAGAAAGACAGGATGCGTGCATTAGCTTCTGATTTGAAAAAGTAAACCCAAAGAGTGTCACCTTCAAATGCCAGAAATAAAATTTCTGACATTACAATATCTGTCCTTTTCCTCTTTAGAATTGATTCCTTTGTCATGTGTTTCTGCAGACCTTAAAATTAACATAGATCTGTTTATATTCACTACTGTACTTTTGCAATAGAGCCATCAATGTCAACAGAACACATGAAATACACTGTGTTACAGCAAGGGCAGTTTGGTGGATTTCAGCATATTGGAAAATAGGAGCCAGAAAAATTATCTTTTCTGACAGGTATATGGAAACAGATGGAAAAGGGAAGATTAGTCATGAGTTTTGTCAGTCCTGTTTCCTTTTAAAACAGAGAGCAAAGATTTAATTTCTGAGTTGTCAGCTCTTGGCTGAAATGATTAGGCAGAACTGTCCATGGCTACAGTCAACACGACCATCAGTAAACTTGATACTGGGTTCCTGCAGGATACTTAGCAACCCCTTTCACTGCTCTGTTTGTAAAGGATTCAATCATGTTAAGCCATACAAACTTTATAAACTTACATTATAGCACAACTAGTACCATCCTGTGCTACAAAGAGCTGTATTTTGGAGAAGCATTAAATTGAGTTTAGGTGTAAAAACTTGCTCAAACCAGCAATATTTTTGTTTTGCATTGTGCTGGAAGTCAAAGACAGTTTTGTCTCCTTTGCCTCTCCTGGTGGGATAGCTTTGCCCAGTGTAAACATACACACCAGTTTTCTGTGCTGTGCAATTCACAGAGACAATCAAATAAAATGAACAAACATGCATAACAGAGCACAAAAGTTGTTACTCTGTAAAACTGAAATATAACAATTGCAGAGGAAAAATATCACCAACTTCATCACGGCAAACTTATGGTATTTTTTAGAATATGTCCTTTAGTATTTCATGCAAGAGGACTTTTTTTCAGGGACCTGCCAGATTACAAATGCTTGTGGCAGAGACATGGAACCCATTTTTCATGGGAAAACTGCCTAAATTAATAAGCCAGGTTTGTTTTGGTTGGGAAGGAGGAAGAGCGGGTGTTTGTTTCATGGAAAGTTGCTAAGGAAATGAATATGTAGCCCTAGATTTTCTAAAAAATAGATTTTCTAAAAATAAAACACTTTTTCACTGAAGAAACTCTGCACTTTATAAAGAACAAATTCACTCACACACACATAAAAATTATCATAGATTTAGATGTATTTCACTTAAACATCAATCTTTATAAATCCCAAAGGGTTTGGGAAACAGGGTGGGAAGAAGAAAGAAATGCACTTTCATCCCTTAGCTGCCTCAGTCTTTCAAGAGTGTGAATATGAACAGACTCACTGATTTCTGGCTTTAATTAAGCTCAACTTTACCATCTTTTGATGGTATCTTTATCAAAAGATACCATCAAAAGATGGTATCTTTTTGCAGATCTCTGGTGTTAAAATATTGTTACAAAGCATTCAAAATCTAAAACCAGAAATTCTACCTGTGCTGACATATCTACAGCTAAAGTACCAACACAGAGCTAAACAATCCCAAAGATTTTTCTTTTTCAGCTTTAGACTGAAACCTAAGTTCAGAAACAGCCTTCTCTCCATTGTCAAAAAGAATGTGATTCAAGTATGAAACTATGCACTCACAACTTCCATGTACTCTTTAAACACTTACAAGAGACTATAAACTTCCATCAATATGTGAAAATTCAATTATTTTTTACTGTAGGCAAGGACAACCTCAAAACCAATTGTATACTATTTAGTTCCAAATGCATTCTAGATTAATGACAGCTGCCAAAACAACAAACATCTTCATCCTGCAAGCTATCCTATAACTAAGTTTTTGAAAGATCACAGCCAAGAAGGGCATCAAGGTAGAAAAGTCAACATCAGATTTCCTGAGAAATTCCTATTTGCCAGTTGAAACACTGGCAATTTCACAGAATAGTAGAAAGTTGGACCAGCCAACTTGAATTAACCATAATTGACCCCATTACACGGCCAGGTACTACCCTGCAAGAACTGCAGAATCCCTTTTGTAGAACAAAAGGTTTCCTGGGATGCTGCCACTGAAATACTACATGCTCCCTCTGTTTTCTACATATTCCTATTATTTTTCTTGGCTTATAGATTCACTAGAAACCATACTAAGATAATATATTATTATATATAATCTTCATCTGTTTTGCATCTGGCTTACGGAAGCACTGGAACAATGGAGGCCTTTCTTTCAAAATTCTTATTTATATGGAAAAAAACCCCACAACCCTTCTAATATTTCTATACACAATTTAAGAGAAGATGCTGAACAATCTGCCACTTGCTAAATGGAGAACAGGATCAGGACCTTTCCAAACAGCATGGTTTCATGTACACATATAGGCCAAAAACATATAAGAAACACATCATTAAAGTACTTACAGAGGAACATTCCCTTCTTTTCTGTTTTATTTGCACGTAAAAGCAAACACTTCAATGCCCCTTGACTTTACTTTGTGCCTTCATAAACTGTGTAAGAAAACTGAATCCAGATGTCCAAAGGACTTTAAAAACTAGCAGAAATTATCACATGCCCAAGAATATCTCTGCTCCCAAATGAAATCCAGTTCATCAAAAACAGTTTTATATAATAACCTGTTATTAAATACTTAGTGCAAATTTTGTAGGACATCTTTTAATTAAATTGCTGACTAATACTTTTAACAAGACTCTGAACAAGATTTTCATCTACAAGTGTACAGTTTAGACCTCTCCTGAGACAACACAATGCTTATGGGCTGAACTCTCATATGCTTCCACAAACATAAGCACCCAAACTGAAAAATATTATACCAACTGTAATGCAAACAGCTTTGTATCTATTCACTTTGCAAATTTCAACTGGTACCTGACCACTCTGAATTAGTTAGGGTCATTTACACAAATAATAAATTAAATGTCCTTACTTACAGTCCCTCTATCTGCTTTGGCGGATACCACTACAAAAAAATCTCAGTCCCACTGTTCATACCTATCGCAATTTCTTCAGTCAAAT